TTATACTGGGATCACAGGTAATTTCTGGCTTTTGGTGTATGTACTTCAATAAGGATACAGTGATTTTATTGAATAACATAAACTCTTTAGCCTTAAAACAAATTTTCCCAATTTAACAAAAAAAATAAAGCACGAAATCTTATTTACAATTCATAAAAACTTTAATCGCAAATAACAAATTTAATATTGAACTATATAGCCACTAAAATATCAATAAATTTTAAATAAATATAGATTATTATTACACTTACTTTGGATATTAATTTATTATTTATGCAAATTAATAATATAAATTATTGAATTTATACAAATTGTTAATGTTAAAAACGTGTTAGAAAAAAATCTTATGAAAATCATAAATAATTAATTTACTAGTTTGCTATGTTATTTATTCTGAATTTAATATAATATACAATAGATGTCCTTTTTTAAGTAAAAATTAAATTCCTACCAAGAATATATATATATATATATATATATATATATATATATATAATAGGGTGGTCCTTAATATGGATATTTTTGAATTTTCTTGCTCCCAAGGGCTCAAATGGTTCCAAATTGATAAAAAAACAATTCTCTGAAAGTTTTAGCTCTTAATATTGTCTTTTAGATAGTGCGCAATTCAAAGTTTTGTATAGAAATAGCACGGAAAATTTTTCAAAAATTTTAAAAATGTTTTAGATATAATTTTTTGCATGCTATTTCCATACTAAGTTTGATTGAATTGCGCACTATCTAAAAGTTAATATTAAGAGCTAAAACTTTCAGAGAATTGTATTTTATTAATTTGGAACCATTTCAGCCCTTAGGAGCTGGGAAATTCGAAAATATTCATATGAAGGACCACCCTAATATATATATATATATATATATATATATATTTATATATATATAATCAAAATCTTTAAATTCATAAAATTATAACAATTGATTACATTTATAGCATGATAAAAAATTATTTTGTTGTTTATTGACTAGGTTATAATTTTGAAAGGTAGAATACGTATTAGACCCAGAGATAATTATTTTAATTTATTAATTTAAAATAAAAGTAATTTCAAAAATTTCATCAAATTGTCATACCAATTTAGCTAATGCAAAACTTCAGATTTTCTCAAAAATATATATATAACTTTTTTTTAATGAAATTTTATCATGTATACCTCAATTGGCCATGTGATATTTTTGAAATACAGCAAAAGTAGGTACTAATAAATTTGATATTTTAAAAAAAAATTAACCAATGAAAAAATTTACGTTTTTTATCAAATTAACACTCTAAAAATTGTTTAAATGGTGTAATAATTTTAATTTTTTTCATCAAATTGGTGCACGCATTGAGAGTATGGAAAAATTGATGATTTTCTAAATCTCGTAAATAAAACCTTGTATTATATAAAACATTGTTTTATTTATATTATGGCAAAAATGTTAAGAAATAATACATTTATTTTATATCATTATTAATGAAATTTTATCATGTATACCTCAATTGGCCATGTGATATTTTTGAAATACAGCAAAAGTAGGTACTAATAAATTTGATATTTTAAAAAAAAATTAACCAATGAAAAAATTTACGTTTTTTATCAAATTAACACTCTAAAAATTGTTTAAATGGTGTAATAATTTTAATTTTTTTCATCAAATTGGTGCACGCATTGAGAGTATGGAAAAATTGATGATTTTCTAAATCTCGTAAATAAAACCTTGTATTATATAAAACATTGTTTTATTTATATTATGGCAAAAATGTTAAGAAATAATACATTTATTTTATATCATTATTATATCAAATATTAAAAAATATTATTTTTGTCCTTTGTATTATATTGATATCCTTTATGCTTTTTTATCTCAATGAATTTCATTTATAAATAACTGACCTTAATAACTTCTAACGAATAAATAACTTCCAGGGCTCGGTCTAATTTCTCAATAAATGTATATTTTTATATATATTATGTACTTATACCGGTAATATAAGAACAGTAATATTATTGCGGGATTATATTTCTGTTCGTAAATCACAAAAGCTTCCAAAAATAATTCGAGAGTTCTTGGAAGCTTTGCTCAATTTAAACACAATAGAACTTGCGATTGATATGTAATCTTGTTATACCGATAATTAACTTAATTAGTTGAATTGATATCAGGCATTTTGATGAATAATATACTCGATAAAAGGTCTGTGTGGGTTATTAAATAATGCTTAATTTAAGAGATTAATTCTTTTTATGATTTACTCATATATTTTTTAAAAGAATTAATGGTGAAAAATATAAATTGTCCTACGTTTCTACAATTATTGTGAACACTAAAAACACTGGAATTTCTTCATTCTAAATTCAAATAAAGCGCATAAGTAATTTACTACAATTTAAAAAAAAATACTAAGAAATTTCATATGGCGGGAATAGCTCAGTCAGTAGGGTGCCCGACTCACATGTCTTGGTTCGGTTCCTGGTATTTGCATAGAAATGTCATGTGATTTGTTAGATTAAAATTAAGTAGTATTTGAATTGATGATTTGAGATATAATAGAACTAGAAATTAGGAGAATAAGCGAGGTCAGAATAAAAATGAAAAATGAAGAGGTCAGTTATAAAGAAAATTGGATATCATAATATGTATAAAAATAGTATGTAATATAATAAAGGTAGTATAAAAATGTAAAAACATTACTGTAGATATGGCTGAATGCTTCAAGTAAGCAAGGCCAATAAAAAAAATTAATTCATTAATTTTTTTTACTAATCAGCGAGTATAAAAGCAGAGTTTTCAATAAGGCTTGTCAATTTTGACTTTTTACACATACGATTTTTATAAAATGTATTACAATAATTTCCAAAAACATGGTTTTTATCTGATTTATTGATAAAAAAATACTATGTGGCCCTTGCAACAATAACCTTCACTGATAGGAGTCAAAATAAAATTTTGTGGAAAAGAAATGGCAAAAATATATTTTTTTTACGTACAGTGTTTAAAATAGATAGGCAGTGATAGATTTTTTTTTTTGAGTTTGGTATAAATTATTTCTCAATAACATTTTTTTCATAATATGAGATATTACTGCTTTATGAAATATAGGGTTTTATTTATTGAATTTTCGTAGATCTTTCATAATCACCAAGAAGTTTTACCGTATCCTCAATGTTTGTGCCAATTCTATGAAGAAATTGATAAAATTGTCACATTCGTTTTAAAAATTATCTCTGAAAATCATTAATTTACTAAAAATGCACAGAAATAATTTTAAGAAATATTCTAAATTTAAATAATTGTAATAACCATAATAATTTCAAACTATTGATCATACATGTTTCAGTCGGTAGAAATTTAATTATTATTTTGCGCCAAATACCTTTAGTATGTATATTCTATATATATTTTAATTTTACAAATTGAGATTTGAAGGTAATATTAAATTTTTTATTTGTGTAACGTAATAGAAATAAAAGTGAAAAATCAGTACATTTTTCAGTATCACTGCGGCCAAATTGAATATCCGAAAAATGCATACAAAAAGATCATTCTATTCGCTTCACTTATTAGCATAGGACGTCTTCAAGGTTGTCTTTGATAAAATATTCAGACCTTAGTTGAGAAAAATAATTCCAGAAAATTTTACAAGTATATTATTGCTTGCACTTGATTCGTTTTGTATAATAAATTCCAATAAACATAATAATCTTGTAATATTGCATCAAAGGGCGCCCACGTCAGTTTCGTTTCCGAACAACCTCTCCATGAAAATCTATTTTCCTAGTCTACTTCACCATTTACAAAACATGATATAAATATAAAATTCTTAAGAAAAGCACTAGCAATAGTAAGCGGATAAGAGCTTAATATTTATTCCATTTCTTTGCAAAATATTTTTCTCAAGTTTCAACGATTGAAGTTCAAGTTCAAAAACGTTTTATTTAAAAACTATTTGAAATGTGTTATTGATAATTTTCTTCTTTATTACAAATGTAAAAATGTGTATGGGCAAATCAAAATTGGGCAGTTTGAAAATACTTATTAAATTGATTAATGAAGCATTCCGATAAGTGCTTACACAAAGAAAAATTTTTCCTGGCAGAAAACTTTGAATATTGACTTTGGTTTTGTTTGAATCCATAATGTCGCTTAACAATGATGCTATTTAGAAACAATGATAAATATTGTTAGTGTTTATAAGGTTTATTAGATTTTTTTTTTCAAATAATTAATAACAGAGCAATTGTTAGCTCTAATATATAACGTCTTGAAAGAACAAGATATCTGTTTATATGATTTCTGGTCTTCTTCATACACCAGTCAAACATTTGTGGAAGAATTTGAACTTCACTTTATGGAACGGAAAATTTCAAATCTAGAAAATATTAACGGGACAAAAATTTTCTAAAATATTTTTTAATAAACATCTACATAATACGCAGTTAGGTAAACTGTAGAATAGGAATAGAAAGTCAAAAACTGTAGACTTATTTGATATGGAATTTTTTGACTTGAATACTCTAAGATTTCAGCAGGACTTGATTTGTCTCTCTGCCGATCGTTTAAACGACCATTAGCGTTTAAATTGACTCTATTTATTTAAGTAATAACCAGAAGTCTAAGACAACTAATTGGACATAATTGTCATAATAACGTAGGAGCATATAGCAAAGTCTAAATAAATTTCATCTACACAATTTATTATAATTTTTGATCAGACCTAAAAATATTGCAGTAAACTTTATAATCAGAATTTAACATATTGTAATCGAAAATGAAGTTTTTTAAAAAGTGTAAATTTGTTTCACAGCTAATAAGCTACGTTAAGATCAATGTTGGTAAAACAGTTAAATCAAATTTAAATCAAATTTGAGAAATAATGCATTCCTTCCATATGCATCTACAGAAGTTTTGCATTCGTTGACTGACAAATTCAAAAACCATTCACAGACTTACAGAAAATTATACTTAAACCTCACTAATTTTATTTGATAATGTATAAAACTTACCATTTGGTTGGAGTTCATTATCCGTTTGTCCTAATCTTGTCGACCTAAACCCTGGTGGCAGTTTTGCGCCGCTGGACAGATTCTGCATCAGCAGCAACTGCAGGCTCATCAGTAGTATCGTCGTTGTTTCCATTATCTGTAAATAAAAAACTGCATTAATCACATTCTGGTAATTAATGCTATGCAATACGAAGAAAAATGAATCAGTAAAATCCTTAAAGTATTTACTAATGTCTATGGATCATCAATTTTGATCTCATTGTGGTAATATAGATCATTGGATCTGCGATAAGACACTAACATCAAATTATTGCTATAATATGGTGTCTGGAGTTTATTGATAAAGAAAGGGATTCATAGATCGAGGAAGTTCAAACAAATTCAAGAGATAGGATGGATTTTTTTATGGTACACTTATAGTTATCATCATTATTAGATTCTAAAGCAGTCCTGACTGCTAGGAGTTGCTTTGAATGATTTTATTAAGCTCACTTTCAGTGCTTTCATGTAATAAATAAATATACCTATACAAAGGCGTCGGAACCGTGTGGGCTGTGTGGGCTTGAGCCCATCCATGAATTTTGATGGTGTATCAAAAAAAAAAAAAAAAACTCGCCCGCCCATCAAAAATTTGCTTCCGACGCCACTGTACCTATACAAAATTTTTTTACTACTTTTCAAAAAAGTCTCAATTTTTTTGTTAGCTGGCAACTTTAAGACCACTTTACTTAGAATCGATATAGAAATGACAAGAAGGTAAAAATAAGCTCTTTTTCCTGAACAAGGAATTGCACCACAAATTGCTTGCCCACATAAAATTTTAGCAAAAAAACATCACTTATCAATTATATCACGTTATCTTCTAATATCAATTATATCACTATAATGCAATACTCTTCGTACATTTGTGTGGACTTGAGATTTTTCCTCCCCGTGAAAATGTTCGCGGCTTCGAACCGGAGCGGTGTTGTGCGCGGCGACGGTTGTCGGTCTGCGTCGATGTCTGTCGGTCGGATTTAACACTGATAGCTTCACGGCGGTCGGCTTCTCTTAAAGACGAACCGCGGATGAACGATTGGCGGAAGAGGGGATAAAATTTTACTTGGAAATTCTACCTTGGAAAAAGCAGGAGCATGTCTTCGAGATGAAACGTACAGATCAATGATTTATATTTATTATCAGCTGTCGATTAGTTTAATGAATTTTATTTCATTGTTATACACACACTATATATATATATATATATATATATATATATATATATATTAGGGTGGTCCTTAAAATGGTCACTTTCTTGCTCCCAGGGGCTCAAATGGTTCCAGGTTCCAATTCTCTGAAAGTTTTAGCTCTTAATATTAACGTTTAGATAGAACGCAATTCAATCAAAGTTTTGTATGGAAATAGCATGGAAAAATTTTCAAAAATTTTTAAAATGTTTTTTAGATGTAATTTGGCGAACAAATGTATGAATAAAACTCATTCATTTGTCGCTAAGTTATACCTAATACATTTTTTTTTAATTTTCAAAATTTTTCAATTTGGTACCATTTGAGCCCCTGGGAGCAAGGAAATTCAAAAATGACCATTTTAAGGACCACCCTATATATATATATATATATATATATATATATATATATATATATATATTGCAGCCCAATCGTCAAAATAAAAAAGGGAGTGAATATAGAAAAATTCTATATTAAACGTTTCGACACTTAATGTGCGTCATCATTCCAGGAAAAACACAAAAATATAGAATTTATCATAAACACTAAAATTGTGTGAAAGAACATCATAACTAATAATTATTAATAAAACAATAATAAAAATAATTAATTCCCAATATCTAATCATGTTGACTCAACAACGATACAGAGAAATACATCTCATATAAATTTTTAAACTCATTTGTTATACATTTTAGTTTTTAACTACCCATAGGCTAAGTTATAGTAATCACAAAAAAATCGAAAATAAAAAAATACCTTAGAAAGAATGGATGTATGTGTGTGTGTATGTGCTGATACCAATTTTCGTCTACAATTTCGAGAACCCAACCGATTTGAATGATTCAATAAACATTTGTTTCTCCTTGATAAGGAAACATGTTGATTAGTTTTTGGCCAAGCCAGGTCTAGCCTGGCTTAGTTTCTAAGATACGGGGCAAAAGTGCCAAAAATGGTAAGTTTCCGGTTTGTGAGAAAACAAAGCATTTCAATAATTCAAAAAACATTTGCTACATAGACAAATTGATGAACTGATTAAATTTTTGGCAAGGAAAATCCAGCGGTTTCAGAGATAAAGCAAAAAAGGCCATTCGGCGGTTAAAAATGACCGTTAGACATATGCACATCAAATTATAGGATATTTTATAGAGATTGTAAAGTATAAGTGTAAAGTTTGTTGGCATATTTATGGGTTTTGCACCAATGTTTATACGTTCGACTGCTATTCGTCGCTTACGCGCTTCGCTATTTCTTATCAGAAACAGCCACGTAGCACTACTGTTTGAGAAAGTTCAAAATTTTGAAAAAAAATCAAAATATAAAAATTTTCAAATTTAAAAAAAAAATCAATTTTATTCAAAAACTTAAATATTCTCAAAAACCTTTTTTTTTAAGTTTTCAAAAAAATTTAAAGCTTTTTTTCATACGGGAAAATTTAAAGATTTTTGGTAGACATTGTTTTTGATACGGAAAATTTTACTTTGTTTCCACTGAATGAAGGCTAGGACTATAGCTGAAACGTATGAATTTTAGAATAATTTTAGGAAAAAAATTCGACTCTGTAAATAAATATGTCAACATCCAATTCAGAACTATACAATATATATTGTATAATTATACTGTTTTGAAAATGTTTCAGTGGATAGACCAAATATATTTAAGCTTTTCACTAAACTCAGAGAAGTCTTATCATAATTCAATGCAAAACGTTCATAAAAAAGTCAATTATTGATCATCATCGAGCTACATAAAAATGATTGGGCTACTAAAATGACTAATGAGTTATGGATTTATGGTAGGAGAGTCAAAATTCAGAATTTAATTTGAAATAAGAAAAATTCACTCAAAATTACAAAGAAAGTGTTACGGTTGGACGACCCTTAATAAAAAAAAAATTAAGTAAAATTTAAAATTTTTCATTAACTCAAAATAATCTGAACTAAAACTATGTCAAAAAAATTATTGTCTGAACGGTGAAAGAAAATTATTTGGTGACTAAAATGACTATTACAAATTAGGGTTTTCTGGTAGGAATAAGGGTTTCCTAAGGGTGGCCAACCTTACCCACTTAGACGTATGAAAATGAATTTCATTTCTTTTTTGAACATTCATTGTTGATAATATTACCACATCATTACCACGGTTTACAAAATGATGTCAAATTTTAAATGGTAAATGAATTTAAAAATGATCAAAATTTCCAATTATGGAATCTTCTTAGTTCCAAAACATCGTAATCGTCAAAAAATGTTTGTTTTATTTTTTTTTTGACTCGATGTTCGGAAAAGAAACACGCACACGCATATATGCGCGTGTTATAAGAAGTGATTCTATATAACTATATCTTATTGTAACTCAACTATTAAAATTTTTCAGCCTATCAAAGCTTAACACGTAAATACGTTCGTGAAAATCCATTTCATTACTCATCTGGGACTTTTTGATATTCCAAAGTTAAAGACTATAATTGATTTTAATCACTTATACACGCGTAACCCTATTATTGTTAATATATAGTTGTCTATTTAATTGAAAACACTGTACATATATGTATGGCACAAAACTTTCAAACCTTTAATTTTTATAATTAAACCAAAATTAATCAATTGCCAAACGATATTAAGATGACCAATGATGACGACAAATTTAAAAGAAAAATAAAGAAATATTATAAGGAAATTGAAGATTGAATAGACATTTTAATTATAATAAATATTATATTGTAGTATAATGAAATAGACAAATGATATGTATATATATATAATAAAAAAATTGTTTCATGATCTCTCATATCAGATACCCCTGTCTGACTGAGATATGAAAATAATATTTAAATAAAAAAAACACTTCTTATAGGCCTATAATATATTAAGAAATTCGTTTTGACTATCAACTATATCACCATGCAAAGTTTCATCAGTATCTCAGAAGAGCAAACATAATGAACTTCTGAAGAGTGTCTTCGTAATTGGTCAAAATGACCAACACCCAATTGCACTTGTTTATCTATGCCAACACCTATTTAAAATTTCTTTGAAATAAAAAAGCAATATAAAATAATCTAGTTCTAAATATAATTAATCGATCTAATTTTAATTTAAATTATTTTCAAATTAAATTTGTTTCTATATCGTATATTTGGGACAAATGTTAAATGACCTCAAGAATTCGAGCTCAAATCCTGCATCACGTACTACCTCATATCAAGTAGTAGTAATATCATCTCCGCTTGGAAATAAAGATCAAATATGTGTATCAATGAAAATAGATTCGGGATATGTCGGCAATTTAAAAATATATGAACAAACAATATTATTTCTTTTCATTTTGATTATAATTTATCTTGTCTCAAGAAAATATGTTGCAGCAATTTTAAATAAATACATTATATTTTTCTTATATATTTTTTTTCTAAAACAAATGCTTTCATTTTAAATGGCGCTTCCTTTTCAGTATGTTTACCCTATATATATAAAGTCAAAAATACAAATTATGTATATCAACATTTTTAAAATTTTAAATTAGTATATCATTTCAACTTAAAATATATCAAAGATAACCGTTTGGTCGCTTTCTTGTAGCCATCTGTTAAATAGTAACTAACAGCATACTTACTAAATGATAATCATTATCTTTATATAATTATAGATGAAAATAGTAATTTATAAGTGAATAAAAAATAGATATTTCCGGAAGCTTATAAGAAGGTCTATATTATAATGATATTAATACATTTAGTATTTTAGCTTATTCTACCAATAATAAGCTAAAACACGTGGGAAATGTGGCATCAACTTGTCATTAATCAAATTTAACAATAACTAAATATATTTTTTATTAAAAGGTCTAAATTTTATATATAAATCTTTTTTCTTTAATATCAATTTCTCGGCAGAACTAAGCTACGTAA